AGAGAGACAGAACAAGCCACAGCTATCTCACCTTGCCAATTCCTCAGTTGGTCCTGTTTCCTCAGACTGGAAGCTTCTGTGTCCTCATCCCAATGGCTCTCAGCTGAACTGCTGCTAGAAGTCCTGAACGCTTAACCAGCCAAATGCTTAACCAGTCAAATTCTTAACCAAGCAAATGCCTCTAGTTTCTGGTCATCATGCCTTATAAACCTTTCTGCTTTCTTCCACCACTCCCTGGGATTAAAGGCTGCTTTCTGAGATTAAAGGCATGAGTCACCATGCCTGGCTGTTTCCAATGTGGCCTTGAACTCACAGAGATCCAGAGGGATTTCTGTCTCTGGAATGCTAGGATTAAAGGCGTGAGTGCCACCATTTTCTAGCCTCTGTATCTAGTGGCTGTCTCTTCTCTGACCCCAGATAAGTTTATTAAGGTACACAATATTTTGGGGAACACAATACCACCACACACTGAGGAGCAAATAAGAGAACACTAGTGTAATTGGTGATCATCCCAATAAATCCTCATAACCTTCTGGACATTTCCTCCACACATCTTGTTTAAGACCAACATGCCATGTAAACTAATAACAAATGAAGAGGCTTCCTCCTTATTCTAAAAGATGACCTCTCCATAATTTTATGACTCCTGGTGAAATATTGAACTCTTCATAATACTAAGAAGTGAGAGTATTCACTCTCTATATTAGATACATTTTTTAACTATTGGGAAATATCATATACTTGATCTTGATCATATTCACCCCTCCCTTACACTGGAGAATATTAGTAAAATGATGGAATTGAGACATCTGAAAATTCTCTCCAAAGTTGATAACTAGAGCACAATAAAGACTGAGCATCCATTTCAGACACTGGAAACTAGCCTAAGATTTCAACAGTCTGCAAGTTTTTATTTGTCACAAATGAAGCCTGTGTTGTTCTCAATAGGCTCATTGACTTCTTCCTTCTCCATAGCACTGAAGTAAACTTAGAAGCACTCAGCTCACAGTCACAGGAAAAGCTGCAGCTTCAGAGCCACTTAAAGCACAGAGTGGGTCTAGAACACTTTCTTGTTTTGTGATTCTCTGAAGGATACCATGTGCAGGACTGTCCCTATTTAACTTGGTTCTGAACTGGCCCAGTACAACAGTGTTTTCTTCAGGGGCATATGCTGCAACCAATCAGAGGCAGTTTTGAAATATATTGTGAGTGCTTGTAGTTATGGATAACAGTTGAAGAAATTCATAGGATACTTAAGAGTCTTAAAGAAAAATGGACATGAATGTTCATAGGGGGTGTTAAAGATACTGATACATTCCAGAGTCACTAGAAGTCCGTTCACAATTAGGAAAGAGTTAATATATAAAAAGGACCAAAACTCTCACCTGTGGGTAACTTTGAGGCTTTGTACAAGCAGAGAGTAAAAGGGCAAAGCACTGCATGTATCTTGCAGACAATTTCACTATGCACAAGGGTCTCTTGTAATACTAAAATTTGTTTGCAGCAATTACAAAATTCTTTGTTCAAAATTAGCTGAGACAAAGACTAACTGAACAAAGCTGTTAGTAGCTGGATATAACATAAAATAGAGAATTGATAGAATTAGTTCAGAAAATCCATCAAATGAGTATCAAACCAAGAAACTCATAGTATAGATGACTCATTTACATCTTGAAAGTGTAAATGCATTGCTGAAGAAAAACACAGTTAACACTAAACAAAGCAGACATAAAAATTGGATTCAAGTTTATGTAGAAATATAAACTTCATTTCTTCACTTTCAAAGAGATGACTAGATGGTACTGCTGAAAGGGCCATTCACAGTAAACCCTCCTCCCTCCCAGATTCATGACCTCTTCTTAATTGTTATTAGCACACATACACACACACACACACACACACACACACACACACACACACACACACACAGTGCCTGCTGAGTAATTAATATATACATAGTTATATAGAGAGATATATAGTTAAATATATACATATATATGTTTAGGGTTGGTCACATGGGTTTGCATAACTTACCTACTCATCCCTGGAGAAGACTGTTTTATCTTCTCTCAGTAACCATTAATTTTGTATATCCTTTCATCCAGGGGTGGGGTCTTGTGAGATATTCCCCACACACTTTGACATATCAACTGTCGGTGTTGTCATTGTGCAGGTCTTGTTTAGGTGACCATATCGTTGAAATTTCACGGGTGCAGATTCTCATTCATACATAGAGGATACTATCTTCTATGTATCACCTATACTATCACCCACTATCAGCAGGTGGCCTGAGTCTCTGGCTTTTACCGTCTTTCCATTCCTTCTTCCTTGATGTTGCCTGAGACTTAGGTGTAGGAGTTGTGATGTAGCTGTACAGGGGTTGGGAACCCCACTATCAGCTGTTCTCTGTATTTTGAGCAGTTGTGGATTTCTGTCATGGTCTCCATCTGCTGAAAAAAGCACTTTCTTTGATGAGGGGTGAAAGCTAGATTTACCTGTGGTTACATGGATAAGTATTTAGAATGAAATTAGAAATTATGAAATGGTTTATGAAATGACAGTCTTAGGCCTGTTTTAAATCTTTAGCCGTAGACATTCAATATACCTTCAGGTTTCAACTGGGTCTTTTCTTATTGATGTACTTTAGGTTTCATTATTTTGTTTTCATCTTGTTCTGAGACTATGATATAAATTCTTGTCTGTTTTATTCTCTGTGATGGGTACTTTTGGCTGCCAACCTGACATACTAGGCAGAGGGAAACTCAACTGAAAAATTTCCTCAATCACATCAGCCTCAGGGGCATTTTTTATTGCTAATTGATGGAGGAGGGTTCAGCCCACAGTGAGAAGGGCCATTCCTGGGCAGGTAGGCCTGGGCTGTATAAGAAATGTAGCTGAGCAAGCCAGGGGAAATAAGACAGTAAGCAACATTCCTCTATGGTTTCCTGCTTTCAAGTTCCTGCCTTGAGTTCTGTGGTGATTTGAACAGAATGGCCTCTCTATAGGCTCATATGTTTGATTCTACAACTGATCACCAGTTGGTGGAATTGTTTGGGAAGTATGGCCTTGTTGGAGTAGGTGTGTCACACTAGGGGCAGGCATTTGATTTTAAAAGTCAACACCATTTCAAGTTAGCCTTCTCTGCCTCATTTTGCTTGTTGATCAGATATAAGTTCTCAGCTACTGCTCTAGCAACAAGCCTTCCTGCCTGCTGCCACACTTCCTGACACGATGCTCATGGACTCTGGAACCATAAGCCCCAAATTGAATGCTTTCTTTTAAACGTTTTCTTGGTCAAGGTGTTTTTTCACAGCAATGGAAAAGTAACGATGACAAGTTTCTGCCTTGGTTTTCCTCCATGAAGAACTATAAATTGTAAGACAAAATAAACCCTTTCCTCTCCAATTTGATTTTGGTTAGTGTTCTATCACAGCAACAGAAAGCAAACTAAGACACTCTCCCAAATGACATTCCATAGTGAGTTTTTCTGCCTCACAGCTACTGATTACAAATCAACAATTATTTTAAGGGTAAAATCAGATAAAACATCAGGCTTCTCAACATGAATTTACCAAGCACTCTGATATTTGGGGATTTATTAAGGCAACTGTGCCATTAGGCATGATTACCAGGTGTTTAGAGAATTAATAAGAGGTCTATACTAATAGTTTGTACTTTGTACTTTGATCTTGAAAGGGGGAGGTCTGTTGCATCACACCTTGCTAGTGTACAAAAATCCCATAAGGGATTAACTCAAGGCAACTGGATATTGACCCAGAGTCCTCCCAAAGCTATCTTATGTCTTATCATTTTCTCCATCTATGTCTATATATTTTCCTATCTAGCATTTCTTAATTCCTTACTCCTCACTTCAAGGACCCTATGATACATCAGGGCAGGACCTCAACAGGATATCTGCCAAGGAAAACTGCTAACAGGGTGTGCAACCATCACAAGAAAGAAAAGTATGTTGCAGTCAACAAAGGTGAAAAGAGGTCTGGAGATCTAAAGAGCTCTTTGACATCAGACATGGAGATTCAGTGTTTGGAGTTTGCCCAGATGGCGTTTGGTCTTGCTTTGGTCCAGTATTTCCTCACTATGATCCCTTTGCTCCCTTTTAGAATGGTTAATGGATATCCTGTGCCATTATATGTTGGAAGTATGTGATGTGCTATTTTATTTTGGTTTTGTAGGGGGCATTATAGCTAGGAGATTGCTGAGTCTCCAATAGACTTTGAACTTTGGACTTTTAAACAGTGATGAAACTGTGATAGACTATGGGGACTTTTGAAGTTGGACTGAATGCATTTTTGCATTATGATATGGTTACAAGCTTACAGGGGGCCAGGGAATAGAATATGGTGGTTCAAATAGGAATGGCTGATATAGACTAATATATTTGAATTCTTGATCATTAGGTAATGGCACTACTTTAAAAGGATTAGGATGGGTAGCCTTGTTGGAGTTGTGTGGCATTGCTGGGGGAAGTGTGTCACTGGGGGTAGACTTTAGGATTTCAAATGCTCAAACCAACACCAGTGTCTCTCTCTTCCTGCTGCCTGCCAATCCAGATATAGACTTCCCAAATACCTTTCTAGCATCATGTCTGCCTATGTGTCACCATGCTTGCTGTCATCAGAATAATGGACTAAAGCTCTGAAACTGTAAGCCAGCTCCAATGAAATGCTTTCCTTCATAGAAGTTGGCATGGTCATGGTATCTCTTCCCATAATAGAGCAATGAGGCAGACATTCCATGTAAGGTTTCTTTGGGATTACAGTGACCTGAGTCCTCTGTATGGAGAGAAACACCTCAGAAGAATAGTATTTCCTTTAGAAAGAGTTCCTGAGAAGCTCAACTCTAGGACAGGAAGTAGAATCAATGGGTGAGGCTTCTAATTGGATGAGAAGCAGCCTTCACCTTGGGGTTGCTGCCTCTGGCCTCATGGAGATGGCTATTTATACCACCCATGGGAGCCTCCATGCACAGCTCTTCTCACCTCACCTGGGCCCTAACACACGTGGAAACAAAGTTTGCTTGCCTGCTGAGAAAGCCATGAAGTAGTCACTCTTCTTGAAATTGCCTCTCTCATCTAGAAAGTGGCCAGGGTCAAACTTCTCTGGGTGGGGAAATTCTTTGTTATCATTCAGGGCAGAAGTCAGACAGGTTATTACACTTGTGCCCTGAAAGAAAGAGAACCAAAGTCATTTATGGAGGAGGTTGTGGAATCTAAAAAAAGTTTCAGCATCTCTTAGAGTGGAACTTGGGCAAAACTGTGGATATTCTGGAACATAGAAGTTTCTTGAAAAAGGAAAATAGTACAAAGTAGGGTTTCCATTATCATGATTTTATCCAGATATCAGGTTCTAAGAGGAAAGGAAAGGATAAAATAACTACATCTTGGCTATATAGCATTAGTCTCACTGTTTAAACAACCAGTGTCAAGCTTCCCTTGTAAGGCCCACACAGAAGCCAAAAGGGAAAGGGATACATCCTAGAAGTAGAAAGGTCATAGTAAGAGAACTCTAACTTTCTGGGTGAGATCAACAACATCTTTGGAGACTTTATGTATTAGGCATGTTGGGCCAAACGTTAAAATGTATGATTAATTACTCAAAACATTCCCTGTGACCCCTACTGAATGCAAAGACGTTTTCAGGCAGAGATAAGCTCTGTCTTTACCTCCTGCAAACTTCAATTTCAACAAATATTAATCAATATTTAGTAATATTAATAATACAAAGGCCAGGGAGATGGTTCAGTGGAGAAAGTGATTACCAAGCAATTTGAGAATTGGGAAGGTGTTTGATTGGCTTATTTAAACTAGCTGTTTTAATTTGTGAGTTAATTGGAATAAAGTGGTTTTATTTATTAAAAGCAACAAATTATGGGTTGGTTAAAACTAAGTAGAACATGGTGGCACAAGCCTGCAAACTCCAGTGTTCAGGAGGCTAATCCTGGGATATTATTTTTTGATCCAGAATACACTCAAATTTTAAAATAAAATATGGATACTGGTGTGTATATAAAAATAATACCAATGTATTTGATAACATACTAACTTATTGAGATTCATAGATGAGTTCCTCCAAAGCAAGGAAGAGAAAAGCCACTGTTAGATTGCACTTCTCTTAAGTAAGTGAAACAAAAAGTATGTAGGAAAATGGAAATATACAATTGGGGCTAATTGGTAAGGGTATTAAAACCCACTGGAAAGCAAGGATGTGGATAGCAGATTGCATTAACAGACAGGAAGTATGTGAACATATCAATGTACTGAAAAGTTTGTGAGAACCCAAGCCTGTGACATTTAGAAAGCTGTATCAACAAATGACAGGCAAAGGAGCATAACATGAGGGGGTGACATGTTTCAGGCATGATTCTGGCATGCCTGAGGAAGGTCAAGCCACCTACAATAATATTAATTGATTATTGACAGGCAAAGATGCCTAGTGAGGAAACATGAAATGTATCTCACCTTGGGAATGTGGTATCCTCTGAACTCCACATCCTGTGTTGTTTCACGAGGCAAGGGAATGGGAACAAGATCGATGCATCTCTGAATCTCATGCAGCACAGCATTTGTGTAGGGCATGTGGTTCTTGTCCTGCATACAAGGGCTCTGATGTCTGCCAATCACTTGTTCAATTTCTTCCTGAATTTTAGCTTCCAGGGCAGAAATCATAATTTTTATAAAATGGAAAAGAATTATTTTTGTGTGATTCTTGATCATTTTATGTTGTGGTAGGAAGTAGAGAGTTGAGGAATCTAAATCCCTCCATTTGCATAAGGGAAGAAAACCTAATGCATGGATGACATGGTTCTATATATAAGACATGAGAGAATCCACCATACAACTAATAGAGATTATAAACACTTTCAGCAAAGTGGCAGAATAGAAAGTTAACATGTAAAATCCATATCTTTTCATAAAACAATAAAAAGCACACTGAGGAATAAATTAGGAAAATAAACACATTCACAGCAGCCTGACACAAAAAATAAAACATGCAATGGGGAAAGAGAACACCTATTCACTACACAGTGCTGTCAAAACTGGACATCCATTTGCAGAAGAATGAATTATATTAATGTTTTTCACTCTATGCAAAAATTAATTCAAACTAGATCAAAGACTTAAATTAAACCCTGAAACGATGAGACTTCTAAGGAAATCATCAAAAATACACTTCAAGAAGTAGGTGTTGGGCCTAGAGATACGACTCATATGTTAAGAGCTCTGGCTGCTCTTCCAGATGTCCTGAGTTCAATTCCTAGTAACCACATGGTGGCTCACAACCATCTATCATGATATTGAGTGCCCTCTTCTGGCATTCAAGCATACATGCAGGCAAAACACTGTATATATCATACATACATACATACATACATACATACATACATACATACATATTAAAAAAAAAGAAAGTGTAGGCAAGAACTTTCTGAACAGAGCTTTGATAACAGGGTACTGGACCCAAGAATCAGCAAGACTCTTAGGAGCACATGAAATAAAAAGTCTGTGCATAGCAAAAGAAACTAACAGCCAGTTATTTTTCAAACAGGGCACTAATATTCAGAAACTACAAAGAACTGTAAAAATTAAACACACAAAAAATTCTGCCAATCTGCAAGTGGACAGATGAACACAGTTCTATAAGAACACAACTTGCTCAAAAGTATTTTTTAAGTTTTCAACATCCCAAGTCAGCAAGAAAATACAAATTAAAACTACCTTGAGATACTAGTCACCCCAGTCAGAGTGGCTATCCTTAAGGAATCTGACAGCAAATGCTGCTGTGGATATAGGGAAAGGGACCTTTACACACTGCTGATGTGAGTGCAAATTAGTACAGCCATTATGGAAATGATTAGGAGGTTTCTCCATAAGTTGAAAATATATCTACCATATGACCTTACCATATACCTAAGAACTCTATATGCTACCACATACACATTTATAGATACCCAAGAACTCTGTATGCTACCACAGACATATTTATAGATCCTTGTTTATTGGTAGCAAAGAAATTGAACTAACCAAGATGTTCATTAATAGATGAATGGATGATGAAAATGTAATACATATAGAGAACAGAAGAGTTTTCAGCTGTGAAGAAAAACTACAACATAAAATTGTTCAATAAAAGAAATGGATAAGGAGAACATAATACTGAGGTGATCCAAACTCAGAGAAGAGAAGAAATGCATGTTCTTCCTCATAAGTGGATCCAAACCTATTATGTCTGTATGTATTGTGTAAAGAGTTGTAAGTGTAAAGACCAAGGCAGGGTAGTATTAGGTGATAAGGAAGGATGAAACACAGATAAAAGAGAACACATAAACATGAAGAAGAAAAGGAGGTTGGATAAGGCTACAAGGACGGGGAACAAAGGACTAAATAGGACTCCAGTGTCTCGTGAAATAAAGTCAGCAATTGATAAGCACATTGTGAAATTAAAAAGACTCTTTACAGCAAAGGAAATGGTCAATCAAGTGAAGAGGTGTATGACAAGACACTAGAAAATCATTTTCAGCTAATACAGGATTGATATCTACAATATACAATGAACACAAAAATCTAAACACAAAACAATTTAATCAATACATGGGCTATAGTTCTGAACAGAGTTCTTAAATAAATGAAGCATAAGAGGCTTGTAAACATTTTTTAAAGTATTCAATATCATTAACCATAAAGGAAATACAAATTAAAACTACTTTGAGATTCCATCTCACTCCAGTGAAAATGGCTATCATCAAGAAATCAAATACTAAATGTTGCTGATGGTGTGTTCAAAAAGCAACCATTATTTGTTGGTGCTGGGAGAGAAAACTGGTCCAGGAATTGTGGAAATTGATGTGGAGATTTCTCACAAGGCTAAAAATAGGATTACTAATGACCCAGATATACCACTCTTGAGTATTTTCCCAAAAGACTCTATATTTTACTACAGAGATACTTGCTTATGCTTGTTCATTGCTGCTCTATCAACAATAGCTAGGAAATGGAATCCAGCCTAGATGCCCATTAATTGATAAATCAATAAGATGTTACACATATACACAGTGGTATTTTATTCAGCCCTGGGTGAAATAAAACTATGAATTTTTCAGGTAAGTAGACGGAACTAGAAAATATTATACTGAATAAAAAAATCCAGGCCCAGAAAGACAAATGTCATGTGTTCTCTCACAAACTAAAATGATTAGATTTGAGTCACTCTCCAAAGAAGAACATTGATGTCTGGTGCTGCAAAGCTGGTTAAATGCCTGTGATTGAGAAAGTTACAGGCTTTTGAAGGAAAGCTATTAAGGTTGTTTTGCAAAATGAATATGATGTGTCCTTCAATTGCCTTGTGAAGATTCATCCATAGATTGGTGCTACTCCAAACGTTGGTCAGAGAACCTTCTTGTTGTAATGGGTGGTAGTTATTTAAAAGACAAATCAGAGAAGATAAGAGACACTTGATTGCTTAGCTATAAATGGGTCATCTATCACACCTCCTCCAAGACTCAGAAAGCATCTTAGAGGAGGAGAAAGAAAGAATGTAAGATGGGAGAAAGATGTTTAGTGTGGAAAGCTGTATATCAGTCATGAAATGGTCTTTGCACCCTTGAACTGTCAGGAGCTAGAATTTCCCACAAACAACTACACAAGACTGGTCCCATCAACCTTCCCTCATTGAGAGGGGAGGGGTTCATTAAGCCCAAAAACTTCCTGGGATCTGTAGGGAGTTAATATTTCCTGAGATGCAGAGAGAGATTTTCTTGGGTAATATAGCCACTGGTAAATTGTTGATAATTCAGTAAATAACCCCTCACCAATCATCAGATAAATAAACCTAATTAAAATTGCTTTATCAAAATTTAAAAATGACATGAAAGTAAAATGGGACAAGTTGAAAAGAGGAAGGGGTTTACTGGGAGGGATGGGGAAAAAAAGAGAATAATGGGGATATATTGAAAATAATTATATATGTATAAAAATGTAATGAAACATATTGACTATAATTAATATATGCTAACAAAGTTTAAATAATAAATATTTTCTGGAAAAGAAATAAGTATGTATTAAGACACATGAAAAAATGTGAGAGGGAGGCTAATTCTATTTGAAAAACTGTTATGATTTTGTCATAACCCAAATCAAGGATTCCAACTTATAGCAGGGAGAACAGTGGCCACTGCCCTTCCATTCTCTGCTGTGACTTAAATATTTCATTCTTTCTTTACTGTGTGTGATCTGGTATGAATTGGAATCATCCAGTGAGGAACAAGTGCATTGATCGTGAAAATGTTGCTAGTACAGAGTCTATTCTAGGAAAGAATGGGACAGTTTCTGGTGCCATCTGCCCATTTCTACCTGGACATTCATCTGCCCATCTATGATCATACCTGTGACCTCTGGGTGCTTCAGCAGGAACAAAAGCCCATATTTCATTGTGGTACTCATTGTCTCTGTTCCTGCAGAAAATAGATCAAATATGGTGATGGCCAGGTTTTCAATAGTAAATTCAGAATTTTGATTGTGTTTTCCCTAATAATTGTAAGTGAGAGGAATTAGTTTTTTTGTTGTTAGTTTGTTTGGTTGGTTGTTTCAAAGGTTTATAGGTAACAATTCAATATGACACAACAATTTTATGAGTAAGTTAGACATTAAAGAATGTTCTATCTGAAGATAAAAGTAGATGCTGGAGGGAGCATTAGGATTCCTTCACACAGTTAATACACAATTAGAGTTACAAAATTCCAAGGTTTTTTTTTTTTTTGTTATTGCTGTTCCTCACTTTTCACTCACTGGGAAGAAGTAAGTTCCTCTGTGATCTTTTCATGTGTATTAAGTCAGTTTGTTATCACATCAGTTGTAGCACCTATTGAATCTTTATTACATTTAAAGTCTCCAGGACTACACACATACAAACTCCACTGCTATTTTTAACCTCTTCAGTCCTTACATTCACCACCATAACTCAAACTAATGTCACCTTCTCAAATTTTGCTCACGTGTAGACTACAATTACCATCCTCTAGATTATCCTTCTCTTAATCTAAACTGTGGTTTCCTCAAGGCTGAGCTCAACTGCAAAGGCTTCCTAGAGTCTCTTTAAAGAAAAGTCCTGTATTCCCTAAGTCTTTACACCTGCTATTCATGGATGTCTCTTTACATATAATGACATGTTCTTGAATTGATGTGTATGTATGTTAGTAAAGAACTAACTTTGAATATGGGAAAATATAGAGCTTCTAATTCTAAATAAATTGAGATTTTTTTTGGCTTTTTTCGAGACAGGGTTTCTCTGTGTAGCTTTGGAGCCTATCCTGAAACTCACTCTGTAGACCAGGCTGGCGTTGAACTCACAGAGATCTGAATGCCTATGCCTCTCGAGTGCTGGGATTAAAGGTATGTGCCACCACCGCCCTGCTTAATTATCTCTGAATATTCAGCTTGCCTAGGAAATGGGTTTGACAAATAGTGAATATTGCTGGAAGGAACATTAGGTTGAACATCCCAATTTCACCGAGAAAAAGGAAAACTGAGTCAGAACGCCCACACATGTGCAGGAGCAAGTCAGGGTCCCTTTTCCATTTTAATCAGGAAGTGGTCAATAAAGTCACGAGGGCTACTGAGGTTCAGAGTTTCTTGATGCCTTTTTATTTCCTTCAAAATGAACTCTTTTATTTCAGTACAAATTTTAAAGTATTTATTATGGATTCCTGGGAGATGGTATAAAACAGGGTATGCACAGCACAGCTGGAAGAGAAAGAAACTTGCATTAGTGTAAACAGCACCCCTTCCAGGACATAGTTGTCTGTCCAACAATCATAAAGGTGAGTTTCACATGCCTCCTGTGCTTCTATATGCCTGCCATTTGGAGGAGCAGGAACAGCATGGATCAAATGGTTAAAGCTGCCATGCACATAGCCTGTGAAGCAACTTCTGATCACATTCATTTCCTGATAGCAGATTTCCAAAGGTTATGTGGGATAATTCCACTGTTCCCTCTGTCCTACTGAGAACAGTAACATACAGTATAATTGGTCAAAATTTCTCAGACAGTAAATTAGTGATAGCAGGTATAAAAGCAGTCTTTATCTCAATTTATCCAGTGCATATTTCTCCAGTCACCTAAAAATTGCAACACCAACAGACATCATGCAGTGGAAGGGGGAAATTTCATGAGGTTCCACTCAAAACAAGTGAGGATTGCTGGGAGAGGGAGAATAAGACTTCTCAGGGGATGACTCCTAACTGGTTACCTAACACCAAGTGGTCAGCCTGAAATTATATCCATATCAGCAACACTAAACGGACCGGCTCAGCAGGTTTTATTTATATGTTGATATGATTCTTATATATGTATGCATATATATGTACACACACACACACACACACACACACACACATATATATATATATATAAAACAATTTTTAAAGAGGCTATGAATTTGAGAAAGAGAAGAGTGGTAGGAACATGGAAGAGGTTGAAGGGAGGAAATGGAAGAAAATAATGTAATTATTTTTAATTTAAATTAAAAGTCATCAGGGATCTAACACTTGCTGCAATTAATAAACAGGGCATCAGAAGCTCAGTCTGAAATTTCAGGTCCATTTACATCCAGTCCTAAAGGAGCCCCTCAGATTCTTTCCCACCCCCAACAGCCAAACTAAGAGCAAGGACACTTTTAAGGAGGCCTTTGTAGCTGCACCAGATAAGCTATGATGGTGGACTTCTCAGTCACATGGTGCTGACCCAGCAAATGATCACACCCTTCATTCATTCCCTCTCAGAAAGTATTCCAGTGCTGTGTTCGTTGTAATAGAATTAGATGACTGCCAGGACAACAGCATAAACGAATGCCAGTCTTTCCTCTTTATAAAGGGGTCAAGAGGTCGATTAATTTTCTGGTGATAATATGAGAAGCTCAAAGCCATTATTAATGAATTTGCCTAATCATGTCGTAACATATATAGAGATAAATATAGATATATATTTAAAGAAAAAGATACCTTAAATTTGAATGAGAGGAAGGGGGGACAAATATATAGGAAGGTTTGAGGGAAGAAAGGGAAGGGGAAAGGGATGTGATTATGATCTCAATTATACATATACATACATATAATTTTTTAAATATTCCCAGTTTAACATCTGTAACTTTTTTAATTTGGGAAAAGTATACGGTAGGGACATTCTATACTCAACTGCCATCTTATTACAAGTGAGAGTAAAATATTAATTATACTCTTTTGATAAAAAGAAAGCAAGCTAGAGCTGTTTTGGATAATGTGTTTCATATTGTTTAGTTTCAAATTGTTGCTCCAATAATGAAAGGAGTAAACTATTTGCCCTCGATGTCTCTTGTTTTGGGGAACACGTATTGCCCTTATAATCTATAGAAACAAGCCGGGCAGTGGTGGCGCATGCCTTTAAACCCAGGACTCGGGAGGCAGAGGCAGGTGGATCTTTGCGAGTTCAAGGCCAGCCTGGTCTACAGAGCAAGATCCAGGAAAAGGCGCAAAGCTACACAGAGAAACCCTGTCTCAAAAAACCAAAAAAAAAAAAATCTATAGAAACAGTTCTTCATGGTTGTAGAGCATAGGTTCAAAACATTTTCTGACCATGTACCATAGCAAGAAGTTAATTCTGTAGCCTGAAGCTTTATCCCCAAATATTCGGCAAATCATAAAAGGGTTGTTTTTGTTGTTATCCAAAATAAATACTTTGATAAAACTGAAGCCCTCTGATAGTACATTTTCTTTATGTTCTACTTTATATTATCTTTCCCCTTTCAGTGTGAACTGGAGTTGATAGTTCACAAATTGGTTAGGAATCATAACAAATAAGAATGAGCAATAAATGATCTAGAAATTATGTAAACAAGAAGAAACCAAAAACCATTCAAATCATCTTCAAATACGGTTGGTTGGTTTTTTTCTTTGTTGTTTTGTTCTTGTTGTTTGTCTGTTTGGAAATATGGTTTGTGAAAGAGTTTCATTCTGCATCCCAGGTTGGCCTCAACATTATTATGTAGCCAAGGTTATATCACTATACCCAGTATTTAGTTGTCTCTACAAAATATAAACTAGTAGTGTGTACATGGAGAGATGGTTTAGCAGTTAAGAACATGTGCTGCTCTTACAGAGGCCCCGAGTTCAGTTTAAAGCTCACGTCATGCAGCTCATAACCACCTATAGCTCTAGGTCCAGGAAATTCAACACATATTTCTAGACATGAAGGGCACCTGCACTCACACATGCACATGTTCTCAGGTAGATACATAATTTAAAATAAAATCATTTTTAAAATGCTAATACTAAACCTGATTATATGTGTAATTTTTGCTTCTCAGGAGACTGAATCAGATAGCTCATGGGTTCAAGGTTAGCCTGGGCTATATATTGAAACCTACAGAAAATAGGAATATAAACAAACATTGCAAGTTACAAGGCATACCAACATTTTAATCTCCCATTGGCTATGTCATAATATGTGAGCCAAGGATTTGCTAATAGTGGTCTTTAAATGGAGAACTAATGTGAGGATGTGTTTGGCTAAATAGTTATAAAAATCACCTAACAGATGAAAATCAGTTTGGGGCAAGTATATTCCAACAGAAAATAAATAAATAAGGGAGGGAAGGAGGAAAAGATCAAAAGAAAGAAGAGAGTCAAAGAGGAAAAGAAAGGATCCTCCAGTAAAGGGGGCAGTTATAGAACAGAATGCACCAGTCAGTGCACAGCTTCTCACTTCCCTCAACACCTTGTAGAAGACGTTTCATATTCCAGAGTTTACTTAAATGGCTTCTTTTTTGAAGGTGAAAACTACCCACATTTTCTCAGAGTTCCAGCCCTTCAAAACCTGTTTCAGATGCACAAAGTTCATAACCTGAGTATTAGCTTTTGAACAGTGAAGGTATAGACTTGTGTCATATAATATTTTCACATATAATGTCTTAGTTTGGGTTTCTATTTCTGTGAAGAGACACCATGACTACAGCACCTCTTATAAAGGAAACCAATTAATTGGGGCTGGCTTACAGTTTCACAGGTTTAGTCCATTATCATCATGGTGAGAAACATGCCAGCATGCAGGTGGGCATGGTGTTAGAGAAGGAGCTAAGAGTTCTAATGTGGATCAGCAGGCCTCAGGAAAAGACAGTGATACCCTGGGTGTGACTTGAGCATCTGAGAAGTCAAAGCCAACACCCTAGTGACACATTTCCTCCAACAAAGCCACACCTACTCCCAAAAGGCCACACCTCCTAATAGTGCCACTCTCAATGGACAACGCTTTAAAACACAGGAGTCTATGGGGGCCATTCCTATTCAAACCACCATATATGAATAAAACTGAACTTTACCTGAATCCAAGGAGAATTTAAAATTTCAGTATTTCTTTGAAAATTCTTCATGAAGCCTCTGAAAGTGTCATCATTATAGTCAAAACGATGCTGGAAAATGACAGCACAGATCACATTGCAGGGAACACAGGCCAGAAGGAAGTTTGGGTCACAGGGAGACCCTAGAACAAAGGAAGTTCAAAGTTAATATACAATCCTCATACAGACCTTAAAATTTCAAATTAAAACAGTTGGGAGTGTGAGATACTTAGAGAGGAATCATCACTGTGACTTCCATAGGACTGAGAGACACTTTATTCTGTGTCCCCCAAGTAAACTATCTGAATCCCATCTAATTTGTAGTCTATAGAAGCTCTTTAAGTCCTCATTCAGAAGAGGAAAACCATAAAGATGGATCACTTAAAATATTTATAAATGTGTTCAATTTAAATCTAATTATGGCTGTTCCTCATAGTATCTACAGAAATCTTGACAATTTAAGTTTCAAATCAATTTCTATTCTTCTAAAACCTTTTATAATATGTTCTATTAAATCCAAAATATTCAAAAGAGCCAGCGTGTGATAACTATTTTAAACTTGGAAATGAGATATTCACATTCTCAGCAAACCCATGGTATACCTTACATTTGCAGCTCATCTACTTTCACAGTACCCTGGGCAGTTCCATGAGACTGGGGCTCCTCAATTTCCTAGGAAATACTGGAGTGAAGGAAGTGGGGGTTGACAGAGCAGAATGCAGGGTACATAGGCTGAGATCTGCTATGCATAAGGAAATACAGTCCCTTCTATTTGTGGGAAAGCTGAGATAACAGGGCAGAGCCTTCTGGTGTTAGAGAGGAAGTGGAAATATCAATTTTTAATCATTTTCTAAATAAAAATCTTAATTAGGTTCTTTAATTAATTTATAACAATATCATGGATAATTATCCTCATATTTCACAGAAGCTTCTTTTTTGACAGATTGAGACTTTACAGAATCCACAGCTGAATACAGAGAATAAGTGACTGTGGGGTACCCTTAACTGATGTATCTGGAATGCAGACTCTACACCTAAGGCTCAGGGAAAGTCACAGAAAAGGAATAGAAGAGAGAGTAAAGCCAGAGGACAAGGACATCTGCTACTAGAAATTATCCCCTAGACATGACAGAAAAAATGCACCAAAGAACTCTCAATGATGTGGTTGTCTGAATAATAGCAGCATGACAGTAGTTAACTTGGCAACCAGGACAATGGAAATCCCACATGTTCCTATCTACAGATAAAAAGCTACAAGCAATCAGTGACTGCTGAGATGGGCAATCATTACTCCAAGGATAAACTCCCACAGAGGTTGTCCAATTCCCAGTGGTCAGCTCTGGGCATAAAAAGCTACGATAAATGGACTCAGTAGTGTAGCTAGAGTTTTCCTGCCTGGCCCACAGTCAGGACAAATCTCTCTCACCTGCCAGTCCCATAGCCTCTCAGACCCAACCAAGTAAACACAGAGACTTATATTGGTTACAAACTGTATGGCCGTGGCAGGCTTCTTGCTAACTGTTCTTATAGCTTAAATTAATCCATTTCCATTAATCTATACCTTGCCACATGGCTCGTGGCTTACCGGTATCTTCACATGCTGTTTCTCATTGTGGCGGCTGGCAGTGTCTCTCTGACTCAGCCTTCCACTTCCCAGCTTTATTCTCCTCCTTGTCCCGCCTACACTTCCTGCCTAGTCAATGGCCAATCAGTGTTTTATTTATTGACTAATTAGCAACACATTTGCCATTCAGAACATCCCACAGAACAGTAGGTTGAGTATGCAAGTGTGCATACATATGTTTATGTGTGCAACAATAATAAAAACAATAAAGAAGAGATCATGAATTTGAGAAGTGTGGGGTGTTTACCCACCAACCCCACAGCTCCCCAGAGTTTTCTTGAGTGTGAGCAGCAGGAAATATTAGATAGAAGGATTTATTGTGGAGAATATTGTGGAGATAAACAGATAGAAAATAAAGGATAGCCTCGAGAGGGCCTGGAACCTTTTCCAACGGGTCCCGAGTGTCTCTGCCCCAGGGTTTTTTGGTTTTGTTTTGTTTTGTTTTTCCGTTTTTCGAGACAGGGTTTCTCTGTGTAGCTTTGCGCCTTTCCTGGGACTCGCTTGGTAGCCCAGGCTGGCCTCGAACTCACAGAGATCCACCTGGCTCTGCCTCCCGAGTGCTGGGATTAAAGGCGTGCGCCACCACCGCCCGGTTTTTATAGAGACGCCAAGGGGTGGCGCAAAAGACCTCCTCCCCCAGCACAGCCAACTGCAGACCATCTCAGACACCTGTACTCAGGCCGGTGGTTCTAATCATCCTCTATGCGGACCTGCTGGGTAAAGCCACGAGGAACCCGAGAACGGGCTCCCACAGAGAAGGTAGTGGAAGTGATACAGACCAGGGCTCATGTACCAAGTTCTAAAAAATAATATTTGTATATGCTGCTCTTATTCAGGCAACGTATCTTTAAGAGTTCATCAGTACATTTTCCCTGTCGTGTCTAAGGGATAATTTCCAGTAGCAGATGTTCTTGTCCTCTGAGGTACTGCCAACTCCAAAGCATGTATTCTTGTGTGCTGTTTTCCACATAACACAGCCTGAAATAAAGACATCAGTAATTGGGTAGTAATGTGGATCAACAGACATAAGAAACATGCAACTTCATTAAACAAAGTACACAAGACAGCTTAAACGGGCTTTTCTTGTGTAAAGATGACAGAAAGTACAAATATAGCTAAATGTTTTAAACTGTAAGCAATAGTTTGAGAAATGTACTAAAGAATGTGATGCACACATTACCAGCTCTCAGGTCCATCCCATACTAATCCTTTTGCACCCACATCTGGACACATGGACTAAAAGGCCCAGTGTGCGTTAGTTTAATGCAAGCAGTAAATTCAACTCATGTTAGTCTTGGGTGACACAGAGACTCCTCATCCTAGACCCACCTCTTAAGATGGAATCTTCAAAGCACTACCTCTTCCCTGTTCTTCACAGCATTTGCAGACAAGATTTTTATTGCATTTCATTATATTACATTGTTATAATTTATATATATGCAAAATCACTTCCCATATATGCTTGAATTCCAATACATTGTTTTACTTATTCAACCTTCAAAATATTTTTTTTTGAGACAGGGTTTCTCTGCGTAGCTTTGAGCCTTTCCTGGAACTCACTTGGTAGCCCAGGCTGGCCTCGAACTCACAGAGATCTGCCTGCCTCTGCTTCCCGAGTGCTGGGATTAAAGGCATGCGCCACCACCGCCTGGTCAAAATTTTATTTTAAAGAGCCCTCCAGCACCTAATTGGACTAAGAGGTGAGTCTCTATCCTCATACCCCAATACCGCAGCCCCTAGGGTATTGTGCCCAGTGGTACAGCCCTGCACCGCTACACCACCACATATTGCAGTCCCAGTTTCAGGCCAGTTGGCATGCAGACGGCCTGCAGACAGGTCAGACTACCACCATCCCCCATCAGACCCTGTAACCCACAAGCCCTACTTCCCCCAAATCCCACCCACCTTCCCAGACTCCAACTGTTCCCTGAGACAGAGCCTGCCAGCACCCAATTGAACTAAGAGGTGAGTCTCTATCCTCATAACCAAACACCCCACTTCCTAGGCTTTGGGCCCAGGAGCACAGCCCTGCACCCCTACACCACCACCCATTGTAGTCCTAGTTTCAGACCAGTCGGCAGGCAGACCTACTGTAGACAGATCAGACTACCACCAACCCCCACCAGACCCTGTAATCCACAAGGCCATTTTCCCAACCCACCCATGGCCAAGATTGCAACTACTCCCTGAGACAAAGCCTAGGAGTGACAATTGGACTAAGAGCTGCTCCCTTAGACTAAGAGGCCCTCAGCACCTATTAGACCAAGAACTCCCACTGGAACAAGAGTATCGATCAGACCAAGAGAGGCTCCCTCAGACACAGACACCACTTACACCAAGTGGAGAAAGAGATGGGTAGATACCAGTGCAAAAATACAGTCAACAACATAAAAAACAATATGGCTCCATCAGAACCTACATCAGCAAGACCTAAACATCCCAACATGGAAGAAACAGAAGAAATCAATCTTAAAAATGACCTTAAGGAAATAATAGAGATCTTTAAAGAGGAAATGAAAAATTCCCTTAAAGAATTCGAGGAAAACTCAAACAAAAAGTGGGAAGAAATCAGTAAATCCCTTTAAAAAAAAAAAAAAGCCAAGAGAAAGCAATTAAACAAGTGAGGAAAACAGTTCAAGATTTAGAAACTGAAATCAAGACAATAAAGAAGGCACAAACTGAGGGAATGCTGGAAATGGAAAATCTGAGTAAACGAACAAAAACTGCAGGTGCAAGTATAACCAACAGAATGCAAGAGATGGAAGAGCAGATCTCTGGCATTGAAGATACAATAGAGGAAATACATTCATCAGTCAAAGAAAACACTAAAGCCAACAAAGTCATGACCCTAAATGTCCAGGAAATTTGGGACACCATGAAAAGACCAAATCTAAGAATAATTGGGATAGAAGAAGGAGAATACCAACTCAAAGGCACAGAAAATATATTCAACAAGATCATAGAAGAAAACTTCCCCAATCTAAAGAAGGAAATGCCTATAAAGATACAAGAAAGTTACAGAATACCAAATAGACTGGATCGAAAAACAAGTCCTTGCCGCATAATAATCAAACCACTAAACATACAGAATAAAGAAAAAATATTAAGAGCTGCAAGGGAAAAGGGCCAAGTAACATATAAAGGCAGACCCATAAGAATAACATCTGACTTCTCAATGGAGACGCTAAAAGCCAGAAAGTCCTGGACAGATGTTATATAGACACTAAGAGACCATGGATGCCAACCCAGACTGTCATACCCAGAAAAACTTTCAATCAACATAGACAGAGTAAACAAAATATTCCATGATAAAACCAGATTTAAACAATATCTTTCCACAAATCCAGCCCTACAGAAAGCACTAGAAGAGAAAGTCCAATCTAAGGAAGTTAGATACACCCATGAAAACACAGGCAAGAGATAGTCCCATACCAACAAATACCAAAGAAAGGAAACATACAACACTACTACCAAAAAATAACAGGAATTAACAATCACTGATTATTAATATCCATTAAT